ATCCATCTATCAGCTGAACAGGACCTCAATTAAAACTGTCAAATTAAAAAATAAATAAAAAGACTGTGGACATGAAGAGTGACCTATGAGGGAAGAAAATACAATATAAGAAAATAAGACGACAGCTGAATAAAAAACGTGTCCAGAGCTTTTTTTTATAAGTCACACGGCTTAGTCGATTGGCCAATAATGGGACAATGGGATTAGTTCCTTCTGTAGCTCTTCATCATAAGTAGTCAGGGTGTTCACAATATTAGACCCAGGGGTCTCCTTCCTCCCGAGCGTCTCTATCGTTAAACCATAAACAGAGTTTTACAGGAAAGTCATTAGTAGCAGGTTTCCCCAGCTGTAGGAATATGGGAATAAAACTATACTGATAAATTCCAACAAATCACATTATAAACAGCGCCACCTGTCTACAGGGGTATAAACACGCAAGTCTCGTGCAGCAGAATCTGCGGCTGAACTCTCTGCAGCAGAATGCCCGCAGGTTTGGCACTGACTTCCAAAGTGTTTGTAAATGGCTTCACTACAGCCATTTATTGTTGTTAATGTGCAGCTCCGTTAGCACACAGCTGTCCAGAACCGCCATGACATGAATGTAATATAAACAGTAGGAGGTCAGCGATGTGGTTATGACTGTAGCTCTGTAGGAGCTCAGCCGTGTCCTCTAAATATTTAAAATGCAAATCTGGTTTTTGTGCCTTGCATACAATAGAAGGAGCACATGATGGAGAATTTGGTCAGAATGTGTATGTGAAGAAAAGTAAATCAGATGCTGTAAATCGACCGCAGGTGTGAATGTGAGCGTGAACAGTCGTTGTCCTGCAGTGACCTGACGGACTGGTTCACAGCTCCTCGTCCATTCACAGCTGGGACTGGTTCCAGTGCCACCCTCAAAGTCCTGCAAAAGATGAACACAGGATAATGGATGGATGGACTTACAGTCAAAATCTAAGAGAAATGTTTGTTATATATATATATATATATATACATAGAAATATGTTTTTTAATTAAAAAAATATGCATTTCACATAGATATTTGTAGTTTACATAGAAATATACATAGAAATATATGTTGCATAGATTTATGTTTCATAGAAATTATTTTTAGATAGAAATATGTACTGAATATGAACTGTGTTTTTGCATATAAATATGTATTTTACACTGACATATGTATTTACATAGATATTTGTATTTTACTTGGGAATATATATTTTACATACATATATGTATTTTACACAGACATGTGTAGTTTTTATAGAAATATATATTTTACATAGCAGTATGTATTTTTTCAAAGAAATATATATTTTACATAGCAGTATGTATTTTTCAAAGAAATATATATTTAACATACACATATGTACTTTAAATACATATATGTATTTTTTATAGAAATATGTATTTTACATAGATATGTGTAGTTTTTATAGAAATATATATTTTACATAGCAGTATGTATTTTTCAAAGAAATATATATTTTACATAGAACTATGTATTTTTCAAAGAAATATGTATTTTACATAGAAGTATGTATTTTTCACAGAAATATGCATTTCACATAGAAATATGTATTCAATCAAACACATCCAGAGGGGTCACCATTGGCACAAACAAACTCCTATTTTAGATTTTTGTTAACGTATTTTTCACAGAAATATGCATTTCACATAGAAATATGTATTCAATCAAACTCCTATTTTAGATTTTTGTTAACTACATTATCACGCTGAACTTTTACTAAATGTATTGACCTATTATTACCCTTTGTTATTAGGGATATTGTCGCTGGAATTTCTTGATATTCCTTCATTTAAAAAACAATATAAAACAGGAGCTCAGGCTGGTGATATGTTCAATTGCACATATTTCAGTCACGCACAGATTTATGTTACAACAGAAGAAAGTATTATACCTATAGGGTCACCTTTTGTGCAACAATGTCGACTTTATGCTGTAAGCGTTTTATTATTATTATTCATATTTTCTTTAAAGGTGCTGAAATGGTCAAGATTGACAGATGGCAACAGTGGAGAGGAGAGCAGCGGGGGTTGGAAAAGTGTTAGAAATTCAAAGGGGAAAACCATTTATTCATCCTTTCCTGCTGCTCCTCTCCTTCTTGTTCCCAGGGTAAATCAGTAGCGCAGAGGTCGAAGCAGAGCTGCATCAGTAAAGTTAATAAATGTTCATTCATTTTCATTACAACAGCAATCATAAACAGCCAGCTGATTATCAGGTTGGTCAAATATATGAGAACATAGCCAAGAAATTAATTGAGAACTTTCTGCCTCTGCTGCTTTTACTTTCATGTGAACTTAAATGTGTGACTTTTGTACAATATATTACAGCAGGGGTTCCCAAACGTTTCCATGCCAAGGCAATACAAACTTTATTAGCTTTTAGCCACTGACTCACTGACAGCTTCTTGCTGAGGACCACTTTTCTATTCGCTATTTATTCACTATTTTATAATTGTCACACAAGGTGCGTTCAGGTACTATAGAAAAATTGAGAATCCGACGATTATGTCAGTTTACAATGTACGGTTCAGGAAAAATGGGTATCAAAAATATATAAATAAGAATTGTTTAAAGGTGCCCTTAGCGCCCCCTAAGGGCCTCCACTTTAAAAACTACTGTATTGTAGTACTTTTATTTAACAGTGAAATGTTTTTTGTTTTGTTTTGTTCTTCAGTTCTTCTGCACTCGACTGTCATTCACGACAAAGACTGTCACAAAAATATTTCGTTTTAGCCAAATTGTGTGTTTGGAGGCAAAAAACAAAACCCTGAACTGTCTCCATCCATCAGGCTGTTACCATTTTGTTTGTTTGTTTGCTTTTTTGCTACCGACAGCTTCTTACACCTGCAGCTGACATCAGCAGAACCAAGAAACGTGCATCATTCCTCCATAATGAGTTAGTATAACATGCAGGAGATAACGAAGAATAAAAACACAAACAGCCTCAGCGTGGATCAAAAACTCAGAAAACAGAAAATGTCGAGTTCAATTAGCATGTAGCGTTGAAAATAGGGAGTGTATTAAGAATTACAATGAAAGAAAATGGCAAAGATCTGCAAAGTGACACAAAGTCCCTATTCTGGATGCTGCGTCTTTTCTCACTGTAATGCA